TTTGTTTTAGCAACAAGAAAAGTGAGTAAGACAAACTTGGAAATGTGATCTATCTATCTATCTATCTATCTATATATATATGTATATAATCATTTTCTTTTTCCCAGTGCTGGTCATTGAATCCAAGGCCTTTCACATGCTAAGCAAATGTTCTACCACTGAGTTACATCTTGGCAGTTCTAAGATTTAAAATGAACTTATTCACATTTTCTTTCAGTACTTTTAGTTTCATTTAGAAAAAAATATATTTGACCCATTTGGAGCTTTTTAAACTGCACACTGTGCAAATACAACTATGTGTTTCTGAACTTTTCCCCAGAGGCTCGCTGTTGTCTCAGTGTCATTTATTAAACTCTTTCCTTCGTTCTCCCCGTTGCCGTGACCAGTGTGCCCTATTCTGTCTCAGTGGTCTGTTCGTTCCCCAGAACGTTTTAGTTACTCAGGTTTTGTTATATTTTCGCATCTGATAGCACTTGTCCTCCCTATTGCTCTGCTCCCCCACCCCAGACTTTTCCTTGCCAAGAGTGCACGGCAACTTCAGTTTTCCATGTGAGGTTTAGAATCAGTCTGTCCAGTCCCAGAGGCAAGCAAACAATCTATTTGTATTTTTATGTTGGGGTAGCATTAAACTACTAAACTAATTTAAGGACAGTTAATATTATTCTGAATTTACTATAGAAAACATTTATTGGTTTGCATCTTTCATGCTCTTTAAGAATGGTCCCCTAACCCTTTCTTAACACCAAAGATAAAGATGTAGATACATAAGCTTTTTACATCTTTCTCCCATTGTATCTTGTATTTGATTGTGGTTTGGATATGAGAAGTCTCTTGATTTCTTTGTAATACTTTTATATCTCATCCCTCACTGAGTTACGTTTTTGTTTGTAATGGGTTATCTACAAATTCTCTGGGGCTTTTCAAGCATCTAAACATGTAATCTGAACATAGCCAGACTTTCACCCCGCAACATTCTTAGAGCACTTCCGCCTGTCTTACTGCTCTGGCTAATCCTTCCAGGGCAGTGTGAGATACTGAGTGACAGTGGGTAGCCCTGTCTTAATTTTATTACTGAGATCACCTCTAGGGTTTCTCTGTCCAAGTGGAAAGTTGCTTTTGGGTGTAAGAGATATAAACTGCATTTTATTATGTTAAGGAATAATCCCTTGATTTCCACTATATTGTATATTGATTTCTACTACATCGTATGTTGATTTCCACTGTATTGTATATTTAAAAAATCAAGCATAGGTATTAAATTTTGTCAACACCCTTTCAGTGAGACTATCATTAAATCATATTTGCCTTCCTTAAATAAATAATTTGGATTTGCAAACTGATACTTTAAAATAGTAAGACTGACTTTCTTATTAGAGAGGCACTCAGCATTTTGACCCATGTCCTGGGCCTCGAAATGTTTAGGTCTCCTCCCGGGGACGACAAAGGTTGAACACGCCTCCGTCAGTCTTAGCGCCTATCCCCTCACTATGTGTATTCATCAGCTTCCTGTTGCCAGGACCAGTGAAGCAGTGCCCACGGCCTAAAGGAGCAGAGGTTTCTTCGGTTCACAGTGTCAGCCCACGGTCAGCTGCTCCCAGACAGAAACAGCATGGCGAAGGGCCTGGCGGGGCAAAACCGCCTCATTCACGGCAGCTGGGAAGCAGGGTAAGGGAACAGCAGCCAAGAGCAAGGGGCCAGGGGCCTGACAGAGACCCTAAGGTCACACCCCACCCAGACATGCCCGGGAACGTGCTGTACTGATGCCCTTCGCTGCCCCCAAGCCAACCAGGTTGCCGATGAAACTTAACCTTCACACTATGTTTGCGTAATTCCATTTTTATGAAATGCCTCTGGATGCTCCACATTTTGGGCAAGAGAAGATAGGATGAGGGCCAGGGATGTGGCTCAGCAGCACAGCGCCTGCCCGGCAAGCACGAGGTCTTGAGTTCAATTCCCAGTTCAAAAAAAAAAAGGATGATAAAACTACCACACAGTGAGCTATGAACGGGGAGGACTGTGAGTGTGAGTGAGTAGCTGCTACGAAGAGCAGCAAGAAGAGTGCAAAGAGCCAGGAGCGAGAGACTCAGCAGAGGCAGCGGACGTCCTGCAGGGGTTGAGGCAGACGGGTCATCTCTGCTCTCGCTGCTCACAAGGCCCTGCTCCCATTTCTGGCCTGGCCCAGGGCTTCCCAAGCTCCACCCCCTGCCCCTCTTAACAAGTTTCTTCCAAGGTACTCACTTGCTTTGTAAAGATTTAATATGCCTGGCTGTGTCAAATTAACTGTACTTCAGTAGTAATTAATTAGCCTGTCTTTTGAACAGACTCGTTTACAGCTGCCAACCAGACTCTGGTCAGAATGTGCTAATCAGAATCACCCTGCTGAGGGAAGTACTGCCAGCCAAGCACAGAAACGGGAAGTGTCAGCTCGAGGAGGCGCATCTTGGACAAACAACCTACTGCAAGGCTTTTCCAAATGCTGACATTAGTCTGCGTTGAGCTTATTCCTTTGTTCCTACATCTTTAAGGTCACAAGACCTCAGAGGAAGCCCTCAGATCTCACTCATTCAAGATGTGGTGCTGTATAAAAGGCCGGGGATGGTATAATTCAGCTGTTAGATGTGTGTGTGCTATACCATGATATATCTATTGGATCTTTTCTCTTAAGAGTTTCTGTACTGGAGGCACCCAGTAATTATTATTATTTTTTGAGATAAGGTCTCAATATGTCATGTGGGTTGGCCTTGAAGTTGCTTATGTAATTCAGGCTGACCTTGAACTCGTGCCTCACCCGCCTGAGTGCTCAGATTACAGGTGTGCACCACCACACCAGGCCAGTGATTTTTTTAAAAATTGTTTTCTCATGTGAATAATTCCTGTCCTGAGAAAAACAGACAGTAAAGAGGAGCACACGTGTGAAGACTAATGTTGAGAATATTGCTAGGATAAAGTAACCCACTAAAGAAAGGTCGTGGCAAGCTCCTGGCTGCTGGTGAGTGTGTGCCCCACCCAGGACACGCCCCAGACAACTCACTCAGGATCTGTGGATCCTGAATCCAGTGCAACTCGGGCATCAGTGCACGTTCAACCCCCTCCCCCCATGATCACAACGAGCACCCAATGCTCTAGGACCTCCCTGCGGCCTGTGGTGAGAGCTTGTTAGCACTGCAGGCTCTAGCACTTCTGAATTGAACGCATTTTTAACAAGGCCCTCAGGATGACCAGGGACAGCTGCAGTGTTAGAGTGTGGGGTCCGTACCTCCTGCAGGAGACGCCCTGAGGGTGTCAAGGGGCTTCCCAGGAAAGCAGATCTGGGGACCACGACCCTGCAGGTCTCATGGTGAGGGTGGGGTCCTGGCATCTGCATTCTAAGGAGCTTCCTGAGGATTCCCAAGCCCACTGCCTGAGAACTACTCCCAAGGAGAAAGTCAGCACTGTGACCGTGGCCTCCTCCTGTCCTTTGGCCACTTCCCAGGTGACTCTACAAGGGCACAGCACATACATGGAAGGTGAGGGACATGCCACAGTCATCCACAAACGCCTCCAGCCCGAAGATGTCCAGGTTCTGCTCTCTGAACCCATAACAGAGCTGGTGCTCTTGCTGCGAGGTACCCAGAAGTAAATGTAGCTTTCCTAGTGACAGAAATAAGTCTCTGTATTCTTTTATGTTAGTGACTGACACAGTTTGCAGTTTGGATACAAAAAGCAAGAGAGAAGAGAGAGACTCTTAAAATTAAGGAGTTTTCTTAAATTTACAATTTTTGTGTGTGTGTATGTGTATGATGCTAGAGATGGAACCCAGCGCCTTAGGCCTGCTTGGCAAGCACTCCCCCATGCAGCTACATGCCCAGTCCTTATTCTGATTCAGAGTCTTGCCAAGATGCCCAGGTTGACCTGAGATATGTACTCCTCCTGCCTTAGCCTCCCCACTCGCTGGAACTATCTGCATGAGCCACTGCACCAGGCCACAGAGGTCTCTTTTTCATTTTATTTTGAAATTTTTGCTTAGGCTCAGATTTTTAAATGATAATATGAGTAAAAAAATGAAGCTTCGAATGGAAAACTTGATCTTTCTCAAGAGATGCATTTGAAGTGTGCAGGACTTGCTTGTAGTTTTAAAAGCACTTGCGCTCACGCAAGATAGTTAAAAGCTTCTATGGTAACAAGAGGCTGTAAGTGGGTTTCTCTTCAGATACCTAGGATCCCAAAGTATGGCTCATTCCGCCCAAGGTGACAACTGAAATGTTTCCAATTATAAAGTGAAAGAGACCACAGTGATTTCAATGGGTAATGAGATGGATGGAAGGGAGAGCTACAACATGATCTATATCAAGTCTAGTTTTTAAAGCATTTCTGAGTTAAAATCAGCAAAAGCAAAGAAATGTAAAAAATACTTAGGATGTTTTGTTTTGAAGACTGCTAAATCTGCGGTGTGCGTGCAGTGGGACCTCTTGGAAAATCCGGGGAAAAGCAAGGCACCTTCTTACCCTGCGGGCTGCCTGCCAGGGGAGCGCCCACAGGGGCTTTCTCGAGCCGGGTGGGCTTCCGGAGCCCACACGCAGGACGATCCGCAGGCTCCCTTTCAGAGCCCCAGCGCTGACCCTGTGTTTTAGGGAAGTCGCCTGGGACTGATTTCCCCGCTTTGGAACAGCCCGAGGCCCAGGAGGAGCCTTCTCAGCGCCTGCCCGGCAGGTGGGCAGTCACATCAGGGCTGGATTCCATTTCCGTGGGCCACCTAGTGGGGTGCGCCGGTGGGAAGCCTGACCCCCGCGGGCTAGGGAAGGAGCCCCGTACGGGAGAAACCTGCCACCCTGCCGACGCGTACTCTGCCTGTCAGAGACCAGGGGCACAGCAAGCGCGAAAACTTTCGCCCGAAGTTGGAAAGGAAAACGGGCTCTGGAAACACTGCCAGGACCCCCTTTTCCTGCAGACCCAGGAGTCGGAGATGGGCCCCACCCCCGGCCGATGGGACCCTCCCGCCCTCGCGCGGCCCGGGCGCCTACCGGCACCATGGAGTAGGTCATCAGCATCAGCGAGTCCTGGCTCTGGGCGCGCAGGGCGGGCGCGGGCTCCCCGTGGCTGCGCTTGGC